TTTCATTTCTTATATCTCTGTTAACTCTTTGCAAGGAGCTTTCCTTGGTTGGCTGCTACTCTCTCTTGTATATATAGTTTCCCCTTCATATTACTTGGATTTGTAAAATTGATATTAAGTGTGGAAGACTTAAAAGTCTCTTTTTAATATATATATATTATTGATTTTTTACAGAGAGGAAGGGAGAGGAATAGAGAGTTAGAAACATCGATGAGAGAGAAACATTAATCAGCTGCCTCCTGCACATCACCTACTGGGGATGTGCCCACAACCAAGGTACATGCCCTTGACTGGAATCGAACCTGGAACCCTTCAGTCCACAAGCCGACACCCTATCCACTGAGCCAAACTGGTTAGGGCTATCCCCCCTTTTTTATTTAAGTATTAGGAGGAATTTTGGAAAATTTATAATGCCGTCTAGATAACTTTAAATTTTAATTTTTTGTATAAAAATATGACTGCTTTAGGTTCATTGTATGCTAAATAATTTTTCTATGAACTGAAAATTTGGTTAATACTTCTTGAGCTAATGTTAATTACTCTGAGAACTTGACTACTATTTTACTGTTAAATTTAATACTCTAACAACTATCTTAGTTTACACTGTAAATATTAGTGGAAAGGATTATTTTGCATCCTTGAGAAGGCCCTAAGCATTCCTGGTGTTATGCTGGATTTAGATATAGGGTAGCTGCTGTTAGCTAAGTTTCTGTTTTCTGGGTCCCGATCTGAGCTGGACCAAGTCTCTTTCTGTTCCCGATCTGAGGTGGGCCAAGCTCTTTCTGTTATCTGGGTCCCGATCTGGGCTGCGTATGGGAAGCGATAAGCAGCCATGGGTGCAGGAGACCTTCCTCAGAAGGGGCGAGTGTTCAAGCCCCTGCATATTTGGGGGGGTGAGGATCTGTGACCCACCTCTGTTGACCCCCCAAGTTCTCTCCTGCTGGCCCCTCTGCGACTGTGCCTGTCTTAGGTCGTTCCTCCCTGAGGAATCTTACTCGTCTTTGGCTAACCAGCCATCCTCCGGTGCCAAGCAGGGTGATGTGAGGTTTAGTTCTGTCTCCTTGGTAGCCTATGCCCCTATGGCCTCTACGCCCAGAAACTTCCTTGGGATCCCCTTGCCTGCTGGTGGGGCCCCTGTAGCTGGTCAAGCAGAATTAAGTTAACTAGAAGAGGACATTCTGCCAAGAAAGGACAGGAGCCTGCAAACAGGCCACGTCAGAACAAAGTCTTGCAAGCAAGACTTATTGTTTAGAGGCAAAACATTCTTTTAGGTGATAAATAGTCCAGGAAGGCATGGAAATTACAAGGGAGAGTGCACGGCTGGAGGTGGAAAGAGTCTTTGTATAACATAGGAAACTAACAGTTTAATGTATAAGTTAGCTCAGATGATCTCACAAGCATGCTTGTTAATCATTGCCACTTGCTGTATTCCATTGTTATTTGCTGTATTCCTTTAATAAAAGCCATGAGAGCCTTGGGGGCTTTGCTACTCGCCTGAGTGAGTGGTAGCCCTCTGCTTCTCTAAACTGTATCCTGCACGCCAAGCTCATCTCAGCGTCACTGTTCACAAAGAACATCAATAGCCCCAGCCAGCATTGATCACATATCTTGAGGAACCCATGTTTCTTCTCCAGAGAGGGCCCAGCTCACGCCATAGGGGGAGAGAGAGATCCATGGTACCAGCCACCATGAGGCTTCAAACTCAGCATGAACAGAGAACTCAGGCAACAGCTGTGGGCAATTGGAAGAGGGACCCCCTTATCAAAAATGGCAAGAGAGGTCAATATAGAATGCTTAAGTGCCTTCCTAGGAGGCCTTCCACACAGTGGAAGGGATTAAATCCTTTCATGTCCTTATTAAATTGCTGCCAAACATTCAAAGAATTAAGGCGGGGGATCAGCCTATGTAAGGGTTCTTATCTATGAAGGGTCAGAAACATAAGTCTGAAATATTTCTATATTTGCCCTAGGTAATATTACCGTACAGATGATTACTGCTAGCATGGCAAGAAAGATGTTCTCAGGTGTCAGGCGTCGTCTTTACCATGCCTCAGGTGGTCTCTGGGCTGTTTGTTGTCTGGCTTGTTCTCCTCCTGCTGGGTTATATTTGGAGAACTTCAATTTAAAAAAAAATATTTTTCTTTTACACTAAGTAACCTACAGGTTACTTCCTGGATGTTGATTGATAGTGCCGCAAGGCCATGTATTTTAAGTCAAAGTCATTAAATATTTATGGTGATTGTACTTATTTTCAGATTTGGTATTTTAATAGCAAATCATTAGATTATTCTATAAATATTAGTGGAAGATACTTCAAAATTTAAAATTCCTCCTTTTTACTAAATTTAAGATATTTCAGAAACACAGAAGCATATAAATTACTGCAGAATCTCAGAGGGCAAGTAGGGGAGGGGGTAAGAAGTAACATCCTCAGGTAAGGATTAAAAAACCTGCACACACCCAATAAAAACAAAGTCACCTGAGTTTTGAGCACTTTATTTTTCTTTCTCCTTTTCACGTTTATTTCATCAACAACATTCGCTCTTGCCCTCCACAAAAACAATTAGATTATGACTTGTCTCCCATCAACTCAGCTTTTGTATGAATAACCATAGATTTCTTCTCAACACTGTTTTTAAACAAGAAGCTATAAATAAATAAAGCTTTCAAGGCTTCTCAATCCAAGTTAAAACACTTCCAGTTCTACGAGCTCAGGGTCAGACAAGTGGCCTGGCTGCCCCAGGAGGGGCCTGTGTGGGGAGTGAGGGTCCCTCCCGGAGTTGCTCCTTCCTCTTAGGGCAGGAGGGATCTGGGTGGGGCCACCTGTGCCACCAGGAGCCCTGCCCTTGGCATCGGATAGGAGTCTGTAGGCATGAGGACCCTTCCTCCTACAGCAGGTGGCCTGCATGGGACATGCCAGGCTGAGAACCAGGGGCTGCGGTGGAGCTGCCTGCCCACACCTCCTCTGAGCACCTCCGCCTGGGCCGGGACAGCACTACTTTCCAGACCTAGCAAAGGAACACAGGAGGGACCATGTTTCCGTGGGAACGGGCACAGGCCGTGGTTGAAACATTCCCCTAGGTGCAGCCAGGTCCTGGCTCAGGTCATCCCTGAAACAGCTGCAGCAGAGCCAGCTGCAGAGGGAATGGCCTGAGCATCTGCTCGCAGGTGAGGCAGCCGCTCTTCTGAGCTCTCAGCATGTCCCTCAGTCTCTGCTATGTTTTCCTTTGCTTCCCTTCAAGAGCCACTAAGTAAGTCACCCAGGTGCTGGGCTCCGCATGCCCACCCACCCCTGGACGGCTCTGGGCTGGTCTGGCACAATGCCTACCGGCCCTCTGGCTGCTCTGCCTCTGGACACAAGAGGGAGGGACCAGTGTAGGAAGGACAAAGCCACTGCCCACTCCCCCCTCACCTCACTGACACAGCCTGGGATTCCTGTGCCCCGAAGGCTCCTGCTCGCACCCTCACTGCCTGGGGCATATGGGCTGGCAGGACCTTGGGCAGGATCTGCCTGCGAGGCTACTGCCCTTGCTGGGCCCTCTTGTGTGGCCTCTGCCCCGCCTGCTGTCTCTCCTGGAAACAGGGCACAGGTCCTCCTCAGTGTGGAGCTCACTCAACTCCCAGGAACCCAGGTTTTGGGCCTCATTTTGGGGGGACACGCTCAGTATGGCAGGGGTGTGCCTCAGAACATGGCTTTCCAGTTTGCATGCCAGCCAGCCTTGGGCGGGGGCGGGATATGCAGGGAACTCAGGCTGGGAGACTGAGGGTGATTAGCATTTTCTTCTGTTCTTGAAAGCTCTAGCTTGCTGGGTTCTGGGATGCTCTTCATTTTTTAAAAATCTGTCTTCCGTCAGTTGAGTCCCGGGAAATGCTGATACCCCTCCATGTAACCTTCTCCTGCTTCACATGAGTCAATTGCTTTTGGTGTTGCTGTAAGAAATGTCCAAACCTATGGAGAATTTTTTAAGTTTATTTGCTCCAAGTCGGCCACATTTGCCAGGAAGGAAAATGACAACAGGTTGAGTAATGCTCGGGACAGTGGCAGTTTTGCACCTTTTTTATACATTAGATTCTAAGGGGGTGAAATGAAATTAACTGGTGATAAATTAGGTGGGAGAGCTAAGGAGGGAAATCTCTCGGATTGGACAAAAAGAAAAAAAATTAGACAAACTACTTTTTAAAAATTTATCAATCAATTAACAGTTAATATTTAACCCAAGCGCAATAATAATTGGGGCTCTGTGGTCTTCTATGTTGGGAGATTGTGCTCTTAGGAGTCTGTGAAACAGAAATGTCCCTAAAAATCAAATCCAATGGTATGTTATCCCAGATGCAAAAGATGACAGAAAGCCTCAATAAGGTAAATATTGATCGTTGCGAAACACACACACACACACACACAGACACACACAGGCTAGGACATAACTACCCCTGAGACTCACATTTACTTAGAAAGTTTTAACTTCAAACCATTCTATATGGTTACTTTTGGCTTCTGAGTTTTTAAGATTGACCATGCCATGCCAGGCTCCTTGAGGTTGCTAGGTTTACTATGTGCCATCATTTTTGTCCATACTGGGGAATTAGAACCTGTGGGTTGAGGAGAAAATTCAATGAGTGGTTTATTAACTCTGGGACCCATTGTTTCATCCTAATGAACACAATGCCCCCAGTATTGCTGGTGTCCTTTTATTTGGTCTCCTAGAGGTAGTCACTCTTCAGGCAATAAAGCCTTAGGTTCTAAGTGTGGTTGAGGTGTTTGTAAGGGGGGAAAAGTCTTTTTCTTTGCTGTGGCCTTCGACAATGTATGAGAAGCACCTGCTAATTAAACCCCTAGATTGTTGGCTCCTCTCATTCACACAGCTCCTCTGGTCAAACTGCTGAACAAGGTAAGCTACTTTCAAGGTGAAAATCTTACATACCCTTCCTTCCTGCTGTTGTCACACCTCAGACATAATTTGCACCAAGGGGTCTCTAGTTAGTAGAAAGTTTCTGTGCCGCGCCAGCACAGCCAAGGGTGATCCTGAGTGGGGGTGATGAAAGCATTAAGAAAAGACAGACAGGAGAATGAAAGCTGGGTCTCTGTGGGACGCTGCCTCCCTGATGAGAAGACAATGCCCACAAGCCATGTCTTTATTTTATTGCAGATGCCATGAGGCAAAGTAGGGGCGTGATCAAGTTGTTTACAACATTCTCGTTGGTTTCAACCCTACTCAACTGCATGCACCTGAACTCTATTGCAAAGGCATGTGGGGTTCAAGCTTACAACTATAGCTGTTGGCTATAATTGTGCTGGGAAGGCTCTGCCCTCCAGCTGGGACTTGCACGTGGCCACGAGAGACCTGTGCCCTCTCATTAGTCCGAGGCTTGAACCTGTCCAAAACACTGTAGCCGAGTCCCATATATCCCCCTTTACTGTAGCTGATTCCCATATATCCCCCTTTGTTTTTATTTTTATTTTAAAGAAAGGCTTTTTATTTTTTATTGATTTTATTGATTTTTTACAGAGAGGAAGGGAGAGAGATAGTCAGAAACATCGATCAGCTGCCTCCTGCACATCTCCTACTGGGGATGTGCCTGCAACCCAGGTACATGTCCTTGACCGGAATCGAACCTGGGACCTTTTAGTCCGCAGGCCGACGCTCTATCCACTGAGCCAAACCGGGTTTGGACCCCTTTTGTTTTTAAACACGCCTATTTACATTATCCAAAAAACTAAATTATTCAGCATAATCAAAACATCAAAACAAACTTCTGGTTATTAACAAAGCTACAGACACGGCAATGTTAACAAGAGAACAAAACTTTGACTAATAACAAAGCAATACCAATGCAAAACCAAACTACAAACATGTTAACGTTTTCAAGACATCTTACTTAGAGTCTTTAGATTTACCTCTGCAAGATTTTACAGAAAATCAGTTTACCAACGCTAGCATAGCTTTCACTTGCTTTTCCAACATCTGCTTGGCCTCAGTCGCCATCTTCTTCAGTTGACTGCATGTTGATATCCCGCCGATAGAAAGATGTCCTAGATGCAAAACTATTCCCCTGGATTAGGCTGTATGCATGGTTGGCCTTGGCACTGAGTCCGCACCAGTCCCAGTCAAACCAGCCCCGTCCGCACAGGTGGAAGTCTGGTCCCTTCTCAGCCTCTTTCTCTAGTGGTGGCTGCATGAAAACGAGCAGCCCTCGGTCCTGCAGAGCTGGAGACCTCCAACTCTGAGTCTGGCGTGTCACACAGACCCAAATTCCCTGGGAGCTATCCGGTCACACAAGCAAAGATAACCAAAGCCCAGAAACAATGCAACTACCGCAAGAACTTACAATCTAGGTCAGAAATAAAAGTTACTTCCTTAAACATCATCAACCACAGTCATCTTTTGCTTTACAATGGCTTAAACAAAACCTAGGAGATTTCTACCTTATTTTGTATCTCCTAATTACTTCTTATTTTCTACCGCCTATTTCCTAACCCTTGTTTCCTACTGCTTATTTTCTATTTTTACCACTTATTTCTCTACTTCTGCAGCTTATTTCTCTATTTCGACAGCTTATTTTCTACCACTGTTTTTTACTTATTTCTCTATTCCTACAGCTTATTTCTACTTATTTCTCTATTTCGACAGCTTATTTTCTACCACTGTTTTTTACTTATTTCTCTATTCCTACAGCTTATTTCTACTTATTTCTCTATTTCGACAGCTTATTTTCTACCACTGTTTTTTACTTATTTCTCTATTCCTACAGCTTATTTCTACTTATTTCTCTATTTCTACAGATTATTTCCTACCACTTATATTTTAGAGCATATTTCTCAACGCTCCTTTTCTAATGTCTACAACTTACTTTCTTTTGCTTCCTCCTACTGCTTACTCTCTACAGCTTATTTTTTCTACTGCTTATTTCCTACTTATTTCTCTACCTCTATGAACTATACGTAGGCTTCCCTGCCCCTGCCCAAACCTTCCTGGGTTTCAACCCCTGCTTATTTCTCTATTTCTACAGCTTATTTGTATTTATTTTATACTGCTACCGCTTATTTTCTACTGCTTATTTCCATATTTCTACAACTTATTTCCTACTCTCTATTTCTACAGCTTATTTGCTACCGCTTACTTCTCTCTTTATTTCTACAGCTTATCTAGCCTTTCTTTTCTTTTTCTTCCTCTTTGCTGTCATCGGGGCAACTCTCAGTCTCTTGAATGGAGGGACAAGGAGCCTCTCTGGGTCCATTGTTCTGGCACCCAAATTGGCTGTACTGCTCCTTCTGGAAAGATACAAACACAACCTCTTCTCCTCCTTTTTGTTTTAGTAATTGCATTCTAAGAGTATTATTAGCGACTAAATCCTAAAGTATCTCCCCTAGCCTGCCCAGCCTCATACAGAGACCACTGGAGTAGAGAGAGATCCCACTCTTGTTCTTGCTTGTTTAGAAGGCAACTGGAGAGGCTTACGAGTAACAGTAAACTTCCTGAAGGTTTGCATTAGACCACCATCATTCCAGTTCTGCCAGTGTTGTTCCCTCTCAGTCTCCTCCTCCAATTCTCGTTTGTTTTGGGGGGAAGCACATTGTCCAGAGGGCTTTCCCCAAAAGGAATGGTAGCTCCAGGGACTAGAGGAGCTAATGGAGGTTCCAAAGATACAAGAAGAGTCAAAGCCTCTGGTCACTTTCTACTATTTGTCTTACATCTCGTGCCACATTCATCCATCCCTTTTTGGGAAGGGGCTCTAGGTAGTCCTGAACCATGGACCACAAACTGAAGATAGAACTAGGAATTTTCTCTGGACCTTCAGCTATATAGCAATCTCTAAGTTGCTTCCGCTTCTTTCTCTCTCTCTTTTTTTTAATTACTTAAAGCTTTATTGTTCAGATTATTACATTTGTTCCTCTTCCCCCCCACCCCATAACTCCTCTCCACCCAGTTCCCACCACAGCCTCCTCCCTCACTCCCCACCCTGTCTTCATCCATAGGTGTACAATTTTTGTCCAGTCTCTTCCCACATCGCCCTCACCCTTTCCCCTCCAAGAATAGCCAGTCCACTCCCTTACTATGCCACTGATTCTATTATAATCACCAGTTCACTCTGTTCATCAGATTACTCACGTGATTTTCAGATTCACTTGCTGATAGATGTGTATTTGTTGTTCATAATTTGTATCTTTACCTTTTGCTTTTTCTTCTTCCTCTCCTTAAAGGATACCTTTCAGCATTTCAAATAAGA